TCTCCTCCACTGTGCCCTTCAACTTCTCTTCCTCTCGTACACAAAAGAGCCAAAGAGCCGGTGGTATCTTCCCATCCAATCAAAACGACAGCTGACTTCTTGTGTTATCACCCGGGGGCCCAGGAAGGGCCCAGGCAAGCACAGCAGTGTGACTGCACAGGAGGGACGGTGAACAGAGGTGGCCTGAGGTCCCTGGGAGGCAGGTGAGGAAGCAGTGGTGATCACAGTCTGAGGGACCAGGTGATCCACAGATGTGGGATGGGGCGACGGGGAAAGCTGTTGTCTCAGCCGTCCTGACAGATCTCTGCTGAAAGGTGTGCACCTTACAAAAATACCCCAGGAGGAAACAGAGGCATGGCAGGAGGATGCAATGGCTAGCCAGGGACAACAGCAGAGGCCCCAGAACTACAGGAGTGCCACTGGGAAGCCGGCACCTGGATACACGCCACAGCTAGAGCAGTCAACACAAACCAAGCCAGCAAATGGCTGTAGGCAAGGAACACCCCACCCCTTCCTCTGATTCGTATGGCTACTGGGGAAACTAAAATGGGAAGCACACCTTCCCTACCTCGCCTGACACCCAAGTGAGCCGGCACAGGAAGACAGCGGAGAAGTTAGATTTCAACTTGCACTGCAATGAACTCTAGTGACTACCACCTGTCCGCCTGCCCTACAGCACTTCTCCAGCCTCACCCCAAGCATGAAACCATGCCTCCTTCACCCAGAAGTCATCTTCTCAGTCAACAAGCTCCCCAGACTACGGAGTCCCTGGTGAACCCCACACCCACACACCCTCAAGGCCCTAGGACAGGAACCCTGAGACACTGGTACATCCTGCACCTACAGACCCTCAGTTTGCAAGATAAAAAAAAGTTGTCAAGATGGATGGAGGAGACGGTTGCAAATGGATGGAAATGTACTTGATGTCACTGCCTTAAGATGTTAAATTTTGTTTATATAGATATATGTATATATGTGTATGTATATATATTATTCTATACTTTTTAAAGTTTAAAAACAAATCCGGCACAAATCCAGCTGCTTCTTGCAGACGCAGGTAGAGATCTCTGCTAGTGGTTGTGTGTTACGCTCTCCTTTTCTTCCCTTCATGGATTAAGAATACTGGTGCTCAATCTCAACATTCGTGCAATCCTATCAACCAAATGAAACAGATTAAAATAGATATGCTGGGAATAAGACTGTAGCTCAGTGGGACCAGTGCTTGCCCAGCATGCTGAAGACCTGGGTTTGATTCAACAGCACACAAGCCTGGCAGGAGGCACGTACCCCTCCACCCAGCACTCTGGAGTGAGAAGCGGCAAGGTCATAAATCAAGTTCATCCTCAGCTATAAAAAGGACTCAGCGCTAGCCTGGGATACATAACAAGACCATCTCAAAATAAAACGAAAGCAAAAAAAAAAAAAAGTTCTGCTGCCATGAAATTATTATTTCCAATGTTCACAAGTTCTCTAGGAGATCGAGTTTTCCATTTTATGAAGAAGTCAGAGGGAATAAAATTTGAATACTAAATATACTATTTTAAGTTTCCCTCATTGTACTCCTGTCCAAAAAGGTAAAGAGAAATACATACTGCTTAACATTTTAATTTTTTGGTAGCATAACCTCCCAATTGTTTTTACTCAGACAAAGGTGAGAATGTGCACCTTTATAAATAAGCACCAGGAAATCACACAGCAATTAGTTAACCAGAAACAGTCTACTGAGATGGGAGATAAAAGCAAGCATGTAAGAAAAATGAAGGTAGTGACTTGGTGTGTGTGGGGGGGGTCCTTCTGCCTATGGGTTGCTTTTATTGGTTAATGAATAAAGAAACTGACTCGGCCTAGAGCATGGGAGGAAGAAGGCGGAGTTAGAGAGATGCCATGGAGCCACTGCTAGAGTCAGACATGCCGAAACTGCCGGTAGCCACTGCCACATGGTGATACAGATTAATAAAAGTGGGTTAAATTAATATGAGTTACCCAGTAAAAAGCTAGAACTAATGGGTCAAGCAGTAATTTAATTAATACAGTTTCTGTGTGATTATCTTGGGTCTAAGCTAGCCGGGTGGCCGGGAAGAACAAGTGGCTCTCCCGCCAACAGTAACCACACAGGAAAGGCTGGTGCCCTGAGGAGCTAGGGCAAGAAAAAGCACAGCAAAAAAGCATTTTGAGGAAACAGAACAAAAATTCATTTTGAGCATATTCCTTTAAAATTGGGAGCGTTTTCCTGAGAATGGCCAGACAGGGAATATTTTCAGAGTTGGTCATGGGACTTCTGTGACCACTGGCTAACACTGTTGAGCGTGACTGGGCTCCTGGGAAGCCCGGGTTGCACATGGCCCAGGACTGGTGATGTGCTGACTCCTGATCCAGGTAAAGAACAACTGGAAACACTACCGTGAAGACACACGGACAAGAACTGCCACTGCTCTTGTCCTTCAGCCAGGCTTGGGAATAACAGTTTTAAATTTAAAATGTTCCTTTCCAGCTGAAGTCCTACTTGCCTCTCGGAACAGGGAAGGTCCTCAGTGTGCTAACATGTCTCTGGTGGATTCTTACCCACAGTGGGATGTCACATCCCACTCTCAATAGGACACAGCGTTCCCTTTCCTTTAACAGCAAATTTCCCTTAGATCACAGACAGAAACTCTCCACCTTACTGGGAGAACTCCTAAGTTTCTTCACAGCTGACTCTCCGGACACAGAATACAGCATGGTCACCTATTTCAAGAGCCTATCATTTCAGTGATCACTGCTAAGACCGCCCCAAGGAATGCACGAATATTCACAAAGTGGGAAGATGTCTAAAAGATGCCTTATGAGAAAATATGGATGAAGAAAGCACATGGAAGAGGCAGCAGGAAGCAACTGAGAAAACTCTGGTGCTGATCTCCGACTGTTCACACCTTTCTTTACAACACCATCTACTTCTACACATGAGCGTAGGGCCCAGCACGGCAAGCGTAATAGAAGCCTAAGTTTCAGGTTACTGAGACCACCCAGGAATGGACTGTCCAAAAAGAGAACACCTAACGTGCAAAAGGAAATCCCCAGTGTTCCAACTTGATGTCTCTTAGCCCACCACACACCCATCCCCTTTCACCAGGGCACCCCTAGACAAATGTCAGCCAATCGCGGGTCCTGAACTTTAGAAATCCCTTACCACAATCTCTGCTATTATAAAAACCCCACCCCCACTGAGCTAGGGGCTCTCTGATCATGCCAACGCATCGGATGCATGGAGGGTCCGAGTTCAAACTTGAATAAAGGCTCTTACTTTTATGTATGGGACTCGGTCTCCTTGCTGGTTTTGGCAGGACTCTGAAATCTGGGTATAACAATAAGCATTGCTTGCTTTTATTAAGATTTTAATGTTGATCCTTAGCCATCAGGGAAATGCAAATAAAAATGACTTTGAGATTCCATCTTCCACCTGTCAGAAAGGCTAAGATCAAAACCACAAGTGACAGCTCATGCTGGAGAGGATGTGGGGCAAGGTAAACACTGATGTTGGAAATACAAACTTATACAGCCACTCTGGAAATAAAAATGGTGGCTTCTCAAAAAAATCGGCGATCAACCTACCTCAAGACCTAGCTATACCATTCCTGGGCATATACCCAAAGGACTCTCTACCATACCACAAGGTTCAACTATGTTCATAGCAACCTACTTGTAATAAGCAGAAACTAGAAACAACCTAGATGCCCCTCAACTGAAGAATGGATAAAGAAAATGTGGTATATTTACACAATGGAGTATTACTCAGCTATTAAAAATCAATGGCATCAGAATATTTGCAAAGAACAGAACTAGAAAAGATCATCCTGAATGAGGTAACCGAGATCCAGAAGGACAAACATGGTGTGTACTCAGTCATAAGTGGATATTAGCCATAAAGTAAAGGAGAACCAGGGCTACAATTTATAGATCCAAAGAAGCTAAGTAACAAGGATGGTTCAAGGGGGAATGCAAGGATCTCCCTCAGAAGAGGAAATAAAATTTTGAGGGTGGACTGGGGGTGGGTACTGCCTATGGGGACAGGAGGGAACAAGTGGGGGGTGGGGAATACTGAAACGGCTAGAACTGGGGAGCGTTTTGGGGGTGAGGTGAAAACCTAGTGCAATGGAAATTCCATAGAATCTACAAGAGTAACCCGAGCAAAGACCCCTTGTAACAGAGGACATGGAGCCTGAACCGGCTGGCCATCTTCTGTACCAGGCAAGGCCTCAAGTAGAGGGACTAGGACACCAACCCAGCCACAAAACCTTCACCTACAGTGTATCCTCCCTGCAGTGCTTTGGTACCAGAGCTGAGAAGAATCGTTATCAAAGAAGCCAGAAAGACTTCATCCAGCAACTGATGGGAGCAGATGCAGAGACCCATAGCCAAACACTAGGTAGAGCTCAGGGACTCCTGCAGAGGAGGAAGGAAGGATAGGACCAGAGGGGTCAGGGACACCAGGAGAACATGGCCCACAGAATCAACTGGCTGGGATTCATGCAGGCTTGAAGAGATCGGAGAGCCTGCAGGGGAATGACCTCTACATGTATGTTATGGTTGAGTAACTTGCTGTTCTTGTGATATCCCGAACAGCGGAAGTGCGGGCTGTCTCTGACACTTTTGCCTGTTTGTGGGACCCTTTTCATCCTAATGAGTCTCCTTGTCTAGCCTTGATATGAAGTTGGTGCCTGATATTATGGTAGCATAGTATGCCATATTTGGTTGATGCCCTGGGAGGCCTACTCTTTTCTGAGGGGGTGGGTGAGCAGACAGGAGATGGGGGCGGATACAAGAAGAAAAGATTTTAATGTTGAAATTAACAGTTAAAAAGGTTTACCATCTTTGTTAATAATCAATTTGATTATTAACCACTATTTTAAAAACATTCTTGTACTTCTGCAATCTATGGGACATCTACTACCACATCACAGGAATATTTATACGTGACCCATGCGACAAGGTCTTTGAGCATGAAATTTCCCAGTATACAATACCTCGGCTCCCCCCATCCATTTGGGCTCATCGGGGAACTCAGCACACAAAACATCTTCTGACTGATCGGTCCCCAAGACGTGGTAGCAGAGCTTCTGGTGGAGATTGGTGGATGTCTCTGTCCCTGAGGAATAAAACATGTTCGCTGAAATACAGTTGGCAGTTTCAAGAAAATCTCCACTACGTCCATCACACAAGGCTAAGAATATTTCAAAGGTTGAGTGTATGGCGGCAGGACACAAGGTTAACAGGCAAGTCAGTACACACCAGCAACCAATGAGGAACTGTTACCATAGCAACCAGCAAACTCACTATAAATCTAACAAAGTATGTACAGGGTCTATATAAGGAAAATTATAAATCATTCCAAAGAACTAAAATAACTAACACAGAGAGAACTCCACGCTCATGGAGCAGAAGGCTCAGGACTACCAGCACATCAGTTTCTCTGGATCTGACTCCAGATTCCAGTATAGTAAGCTGTGGATAGGGACCGTCCTGGCGGTTTCGTTTGTTCTGACTCCCCTCAATGACGGAGTGCTACCCTGAAATGTTAAGGTGAAATAAACCCTGTCCTCCCTCAAATTGCTTTGGTCATGGTCTTTATCCCAGCAACAGAACCCAAACTAAGACATGAACAAACTGATTCCAAAGTATACGTGGAGGAACACGAAGATTCAAAATAACTATGAAGAACAAGGTTGGGGGACTGAAGCTGTACAACCTCTAGACTTGCTGCCATCTGGGATAGCAATGTGAACTAACAAGAGGTATCTACTACAGAGCTACCCGACCCTGAGTGCACTCAGACGCTGACGGGCAGTCAGGAGCCCTCACAAATGCCACAGGCTTTGGAGGAGGATGGTTCTGCGGTTTCTCACCCTAAGATCTGGCAGCTGTGCTACTTAGAACTCATCACAACGTCTGCACAGAGATCTACCTAGGACAGCAACTTGGCACATAACCGCTGAGACAAGGAAACTACCCAGGACAAAGGACAGAGACAGGCAGGCATGGTGGTGCGTGCCTTTAGTTCCAGCATTCGAAAAACAGGCGGATCTCTGAGTTCGAGTTCAGCCTGGTCTACAAAGTGAGTGCCAGGACAGCTGTGGTGGCTTGAAAGAAAATGGCCCCCAAAGGGAGTGAGTGGCTCTATCAGGAGGTGTGGCCTTGCTGGAGGAAGTGTGTCACTATGGGGGTGGACTTTGAGATCTCCTGCATAAAGCTTCCCTCAGTGTGACACACTCAGCTGCAGCAAGTCCGCCTGCATGCTGCTGTGGCCCCACTCATGATCAAAATGGACTGAACCTCTGGAACTGTAAGCGAGCCCCCTTAACTAAATGTTTTCTTTATAAGAGTCACCATGGTCGTGGTGTCTCTTCACAACAATAATAAACCCTAAGACAACAGCCAAGGCTACACAGAGAAATCCTGTTTTGAAAAACTAAAATAAAAATAAAAATAAAAAAGGTTGGGGGCTGGAGAGATGGCTCAGTGGTTAAGAGCACTGGCTGCTCTTCCAAAGGTCCTGAGTTCAATTCCCAACAACCACATGGTGGCTCACAATCATTTGTAATGAGGTCTGGTGCCCTCTTCTGGTCTGCAGGCATACACACACACAGAATATTGTATACATAATAAATAAATAAATATTTAAAAAATAAATAAATAAAAGGTGGAGGGCAAGAATCATGGTGTATGGAACTAAGAATTAAGGAGAAGAGCTGATTTGAAGAGGCTATATTCTGTATATTCTGTACAGCGCCATCTATGGAACTAAACCAGACAGAAAAGGCCAGTGTGCCCAGCACAGTGGCATAAGCCTGTGTCTCCTGTACCTCTCGGCTAAGACAGAAAGATCTAAGTTCAAGGTCAATTTGGGCAACAGTGAGACCCTGTCTGAAAATGAAAAAAAAAAATTAAAGATCAGGGGCCACCAGGCACCAGGGAAGGGAGAAAGAACTAGGTAGAGTTCAAAATACTTTCGAGGCACTGAAAATCATCCCCCCAACACTGCACTGGGGACATGCCGTAACATGCCATAACATTCACAGGATGTACAAAGTCAAGAGTACACCTAACCCAGGAGCGGTACATGCCTTTAACCTCAGCACTCAGGAGGCAGAGGCGGGTGGATCTCTGTGAGTTCCCGGCCAGCCTGGTCCACAGAATGAGTTCCAGGACAACCAGGACTACACAGAGAAAATATTGCCGTGAAAATCCAACAACAACAAATTAAACCTAATATAAACTACAGACTCTGGGTAAAAATGATGATGTGTTACTGAAGGTTTGCTAATTATAAGTTATCAATTATTCCTCACTCTGGTAAAGACACCAAAGATACATGTGTGTACCTTTTAATTCTGCTATGAATTAATGCATTAAAAAAAGTTAGGCACCAGCTGTCTATCACCATAAAGTAATTTATGTATATTTGCTGATTTTAAAGACTATTCAGAGACTAAACTTTATCTTCTCATTGTGAAAATGTACTAAGCTATCAGGGCAATAAATAATATCAAAATGTAAAAAAATGCTTTATAATCTTTAAGGACACTAACTTTTTAAGGAACGCTGGTAGGAAGCACAAGATGAACTGCTTATGTCAATCATAAACCCCTTCATTACAGTCTGACTTTTACATACCACACCAAAAAATAAAATAAAATAGGAACAGCAAAATAACAGCCTTCTTAAGCCAATCACAACGACTAACCTACCTGCGGCCTCCAGGCTGTGGCTGCACCTGGGGCTGCATGCAGTCGATGAATGGAACCAAATGTAAAATAGTAAACAGTGTGAGAGTATGTGTGGTAACTTGATTGCTGCTGCACTGTGCAAAGGTTAGACACGCAATGTCAATCAAATGAGCTTCCTTTTCAGTCGTAAGAAGCCGCATGGTCTCGTATAACGCGCTTCCCCGACGCGTTGTTCACTTACCGTCACTCTTCCCATCCTGCTGCGGGTATGAGTTGTAGAACATCCCCTTGCCGTCATGGGTCCAGGCCATACAGGTGAACTTGACTCTCTCCAGCACATCAGGAAGCTCTTTGGCGCCATCGACTTTCATGAACTTGATCGTCACCCAGTCTGAGCCACTGGCACTCAGACCATAGGCAAAGTATTCACCGTCTTCACTGAAGGCATAACCTACGGGGCACAGAGGTAGTCAGAGGTGGCATATAACTGTTCATCTTGCCCGCTGCCGTCGTCCACACTTACCAGAGCTGCCTGAAATAGCCTGGAGACTGAACGTGGCAATGGAGGAAACAGGAAGTAGTAGTGAGCAAACCTGGGCTCAGCTGACGTCTGGAAGGAATTACCATTGCGATGATACGGTCCCTTAACCTCCTCAGGTCATACTTTCTTCCTTTATAAAATGACGCCTCGGATTATATGCCCATTAAGATACTTCCTTTTTGAAATTTTTATAAGTCAATGGTTAGCTCAGTTAAAAGCAGAGCTCGTCGGAAACAAGCAGCATATTTTATTTATGCCCCAAAGGGAGTAAGTAGGGGGAAATCTGCCTTTATAGTACTGACTAAATGATGATACACAGCATACACCAGAATTAAATTGTACCCATTAAGTAACTTTTGGGATGGACTCCAAAGCATTTGAGATCAGTCTGTATAGCCTCATTTTGGAGCATTTACTGGCACCATGACATCACAGGCCCAGGTATACATAGCTGGAGGGTCTACAAGGAAGGATCCTGGTGTGCACATTCCAAAAGAAGCAGAAAGCACCTCTCGGTGGACTGTCATGCCAAGTCTAAGTCCTTGGGGACCCAACAAGGCTCCCATCCAACCTGCGAAAGTTTCTTGATAAGTGGTCATGCTTTATGTCGGCTTTTATAGTTCATGCTATCAAGTTATCCTCGTAGAGAGTAAGATTCAGATACCAGTGATCCTCCTGGGAAGCTTGCTAAACTTTATTGAGGATCTAAAATTTATAGGACGCTCAATTATTACCATGGAGCTTTAATTAGTAGGAAATTACCTTAAAATCTGCTAACACACTTATTGAAAATTTTCAGGGAAAAAGGAAAAAAAATATTTTGATTAAGATCATACGTAAGGAATCATATGCCAGGTCTCAGGCCTAATTCACCTTTGCGTCAATCATGTCCTTGTTTGCAGCGGACACCTAAAGAAACCATTGCCCTGCATCACTGGGGTGAGAGGTACTGGACACAGCCCTCCCGGATGGGCTGCGAGGCAGACTTCAGTGAAAACCACACAGATTCTAATACAGGATACGTGACTGACTCGGAACCATGGCATTAAATTAATTCTAAACCACAGGCTCAGATTCATGGAAATACTAATATAGATAGTTGGTGCCTCACCTCCAAAACAGTTACACACTAAGCCTAGTTGGGAGGGACGAAGAGGACCACCAAGTAACAGAGGCACAGCTAGAAACAGCAGGAAATACCTGCATAAAGGTCTTCGTATGGATCCAGCGAAACGGGCCTGTCATTCCTACTAAGCGGCAGACACCACTGTTCAAACTGCGCAGTTCTAGGGAGTCAACCTGCACTGTGCTTTGGCATAGACCAATGGACAGTATAGGAGAGACACTGAGCCCTCCTCATTAGGAACAGCTGGCATGTCAAGGAGTCATTTAACCATGAAATTACTAAACCATAGGACTCTAGAATACCCCAATTTTTCCTTATCCTAAAAACCTACTCATAGCACAAACCGAGGTTTATCTTCTCTCCAGCCTGCAGGAGGCAGCACTGGGAGCAGTTATTGCAGACATGGGGCACCAGCAGGCAAGATGCACTTAGACTCGGGTTGTATGGCAACATCTTCAGAGACAGGATACCAAGAGGTTCAGTTCCACAAAACTGGGGGTTTTGCTTTTAATTCTAACTGTGAACTACCTAGGCTTTAATACTCTGATCACTCTCCCCCGTTTATGGCTGAACATTCCTTGTACAGCTGGAAGTTTCCTGCAAGAGGGTCTAAGTGTTTCTTGTCAGATGGGTCTCAGATGTTATGGGAAATGATAATGCTAATTCAACATCCCAGAAGTGAATCTGGGTCTAGTATGACTTATTCTCCAGTTCTGTTTCATGCCATCGGGGTGAGAAAGATGAACGTGACTATCCATGTGTTCTAAATACAGTATGCAAAGTTAGCTTTCCTGACACTGTGTGCATCTGCTCTACAATATGGCTCACACCCAGCTTGGAATCTCAAGACTTCAGAGCTCCAAGTGGTGCTGCAAGGACTCCCGAGGGCCCCTTACCTCGGAGTGCTACTGTGCCGTCATCCGACAGAGTGTTGGGGTCGAGGAAGACCCTGGCTTCCCCCTCTAAGGAGTCCTGCACATACAGCACACGCTGGTTCTGCAAACCTGTATTGTAAAAATAAAAATACCTGGGGACAGAAATTCCCTGTATTTAGCTGTGGTATTTTCCGTTTGTGGAGAAGAATCAAACACACGAAGAAGCAAATTTCACAAGACCACACACAGAAAGAAATAGATGCAATCAAGCCGAGATAGGGACAGCAGATGAGATGGAAGTCCCTCCGGCTTCCTATGTGACAGTTTGTTACTTGAACGGCTTTCTTTCTGTATGCAAATAATTTACTGTAGTTTGGCATGTGAGCTGGGGACAAATGAAGACCAGTTTGCTAAAAATAACACTGGCAGGCAAATACAGCCGTGCCTACTTCTTCTAAATGGAGAAGAAAGCAGATCTCCCACTGTAGCACTCTGGCCCGCTTCCACAGCCTGGCTGGCCGCCAGGTATGAAGGTCATCGCACTTCGACAGAGAGAAGGGGCTGTGCGTTCAGACTCCGTGGGCCACAAAGTCACCACGCTCACCAAACAAACGGGCAGGACTGTGTTCCGGTTAGACTTAGTTATAAAAGCAGGTGGTAGCAGGGTTTGGCACACTGGCTACTTTGCTGCTATCTGCGCGAGATGTGGAGGCCCTAAGATTCCAGAGTAATCGTGCGAAGGTACATCCAAAAAACAATAGATCATGTCCAGGTGGCTGCGAGAAAGAGATAAACCGGAGGGCTAAATTCACAAGCTCCACTTTGTGGCCCATTCTTGGATCGAAAAAAAGTACATATAATGAAATGTCCTCGAGAACTACGCGCCAAAGATAATATTAGGTGGAACCAAATCTTCCCCATTTTTATGAATCACAGGCTCACCAACTAACCACAAAAATGAGGATTTTCCATAACCAACTTTCACAGGCTATATCACTGCCAAGTGTCTCAACTGCTATTTTATAAATATGAATGAACAGCACTTCACAGTGCAAAAACTATTCTCAGGTTCAAACACAACAATCGCTTCCTTTTATAAGCCGGTAAGTCAGTGCAAAGGTGCACTTCGTTTGTTTGACACATGGCCTCACTATGTAGCCACAGTCTGGAACTCACAGGGACCCACTTGCCTCTGCCTCCCAAGTGCTCGGATTAAAGGCTGGCGCCACCACACCTGACCTGTGCTTGGCCATTCACGGGAGCCGTAGAGATTTAGAGATGGCTGAGTGTGGAAAGTGCTTACTGCATGAAAACCTGAGCTGGAATCTTCAACGCTGACATAAAAGCTAGGCACTATGGTTCATGTCATAACCCAGCACTGGTAAAACTCCAGGGTGTGAAAGGGACCCTGTCCCTCAGTAGCGGTAGAGGCAGGGAGTTGTGGTGAACAACTTTACTCCCAGACCCCAGAATGCAGAGGCAGGTGGATCTCTGTGAGTTTGTGGCCAGTCTGGCCTACACAGTGAATCCCAGAACAGTCAGAGCTATGTGGAGACCCTGTCTCAAGGAAAACAAAAGGAAGGGTGAAAAGCAATAAAGGAAAAAAAACCCAATGTCAGCCTCTGGTGTGTGCATATTCCCTCACTCTCCCACACACCAATGCATACACACATCTCTCTCTCTCTCTCTCTCACACACACACACACACACGCACACACACGCACACGCACACTTTAAAAAAAGAAAGAAAACACCAAGCTGGAAAGTGAAGAGGGAAGGCAAGCACCCTCACACACCGCTTTCCTTTCTTGAAGTGGCAGCTGTACTTGGGGTAGTCATACAGTTCAGTCATTCTCTCCTTGTATAATCCTCGGATTGGACACTGCTCAAGAAACGGCACCGTGATCTTGTTCTGTGCCTCCACGAAAGCCTGCAGAGAATTAGAGGACAGAAGGCAAATCAAATATAAAATGTCCATGTGGAACATCATCCTTTAGCATACATCAGCAAAAGTGTTAACTTCTGAGGGTGGATGGATCGTAAGGTTACCTGTAACTCAGTCAGTAGGACCAGTGACTTCAGAGAGAGACAGAGAGAATGTGTGTGTGTTCTTTGCTATATGGTATTTCTAGACTGGTATGGGCTACAGAAGGATATTCTATTTCAATAACCAAGCAAAATATAACTTTCCCCTTGGTAATTAACAACTGACTCTTACATTGCACCACCTCAACTAATGCTTACAGAGCAAGTATCAACTCATTAAAGTCTCACCTTTAGAGAAGATTCCTTTATCCTTCTTCCGTCCCCAGCCTGTGTGTGTGTGTGTGTGTGTGTGTGTGGTGTGTTCATGCACACTGTGGGATAATGCTCTTGTGCACTGTAAAGATTTGTCACTAGTACTGGTTTAATAAAACACTGATTGACCAGTAGCCAGGCAGGAAGTATAGGCAGGGCAACCAGACTAAGAGAATACTTGGGAGAGGAAAGGCAGAGTAGCAGTCACCAGCCAGAAGCAGAGGAAACAAGATGAGAATGCCTTACTGAGAAAGGTTCCAAGCCATATGGCTAAACATAGATAAGAATTATGGGTTAACATAAGTTAGTTATTAATAAGCCTGAGTTAAGAGGACAAATAGTTTAAAATTAAGATAAGCCTCTGTGTGTTTCCTTGGAACATCTGCGAGACTGGGTAGGACACAAACTTCCATCTATGAGAGAGACAGAGAGAGAGAGAGAGACAGAGAGAGAGAGACACAGAGAGAGAAACAGAGAGAGAGAAACAGAGAGACAGAGAGAGAGTTCATCCCACAGCACCTAGGAGGAGGTCAGAGGACAACCTATGGAAGATGTTTTTCTTCTTCCATCATGTAGGTCCCAGGACTGGAACTTAAGCCATAAGGCTTGGTGGAGACAAGTGTCTTTGCCCACTGAGCCAAGTCCCCAGCCAGAGCAGAGCCTCATAAAAGAGGCTGAATTCCATAAAAGAAAGCTAGATCTTGAAATGGTTGGAAAACTAGCCAACATTATACAGCTAGGGAGTGAAGCTGGCTTCTGATCTATGCTCTTAATAAACACACTGTATACAGCTTAGTCATATCCTTAGACTTTATTTATAAAGTCCCAAGGGTTCAGCTTAAAGCCCCAGGCCAAATTTAGGAGAAAATTTAGGCAGCTTTTCAATGACTTTGCTTTATCATATTATCTAAAACCTACCACTATGTCAACTCTCATCAGAGAACTTCACTAAAATGTGCAATTGAAAGTTATTTAGATATTCAGAAGAATGGAAGTGGCACTGGGTAAGAATGTCAACAATCATGGTTTATAAGAAAAGGAAAGGGGCTGCAGGAAGTCGGGAGACCTTGGGGATGAAGGCCTCATCCTTGCAGTCAGTTGTATCCTGTAATGCAGAGTCACAGTTTAGCTAGCACTTACCGATTGTACAGAATACTGGGTTTCACCATGGCTTCTTCATACATGCATATAATGTACTTTGAACTAATCCACTGAACTCCATTACCCTCTCCTGTCTTCATTTGCCTAAGTGCCCCTATAATTCACATCTGGGTGTCATTAAAAGGAAGCAGGTGTAACTGTACCGGAACTATGTTCAGTGGGCTTTGTCAGATGTCTACAGGCAGAGGAGCAGCCAGGGGAGGCCAGGAAATAACTGAGCACGTGATGTCCTGGATGGCAAAACACAGCATCCCTTCAGTCCATTTCTGGATACAGCTTAAGCTGCCGAGGCCCATCCAGGCTCCAAGTGCTATTTTAAGAGGACAGATAAGTCTGGGTTCTCCTACTGCGATCTCACACTGAGAGAAGCGGTGCCACAACCCATTAATGTTTATGACTTCAAAGGAGAAGAATGCTGCATATGAATACAGTGATTAACAAGGTTTTTGTAATTCAAGAAACATAATTCAAACAAACTAAAATTGAGTCCCTCACAATATGACTCTCAGTTGTTTCTTGCTATGGATGGGCAAACTCTGCTCGTGGGCTACAGAGTCAGACTCTGCTCAGAATTAGACTGCTTTGGTCCTGCTCTGCTTTTGGAAGGTCCTTCAGCTAAGAAAGATGTGCATGCATATGTTTGTGTATTAATATTGTGCATGTATGTGTGTGTGGACATGTACTACATGTCTGTGTATTGTGTAACAGTTTCTTCCTAGACTAAAACATTGTATCCTTCAGGGAAGCTCTTTAAACAGGAAGATAAACTCAAAAACTCCTCAGGAAGTCCCTGAAACTGACCAGATTCACTAAAACCCATCCCTTCCAGAGCAAGCAGAGCCAAGCTGCAGAGAAGTATCTCAGAGGAGTCCAGCTGCCAAGACTCACGACAAGCTGAGCTGCAAAGATTCCTAGACCAGACCAGCTGCCCGAAAGAAGGAGAAATCAGTCAAGCTGCTTGGAATAGGTTGAGACCAACTGAGGCACCTGGAAAAGATACCCTAAGCTGTTGAGCTTCCTGTAGGCTGTGCAGTATGCTCTAGGAACCCAGCTCTGTGAGCTGTCACTCATGCTGGGGTGGGCTTTGGTGAAGCAGCTGTCTTTGAGTCACTTCTGCTCCTGTAAATAACCCCAATGAAACTCATGGTTCACCCAGCTGGACTTTGGTGGTGTCCATACTCTGGTGTACCGTGAGCAGACATGAATGTTGCATCTCCCCCGGAAAAGTTTTGTCACACAACAACATGTGTAGAGATCAGAGGTCAACACTGGGTGTCTCCCTCAATTGTTCTTCATCTCATATTTTTGAAGACAGGGTCTTTCACTGAGCTTGGAGCTTGTCAATAGCTAGACCACCTGGCTGACAAATGGGAGGCATCCTCCTGCCTCTGCCTCACTAGTGCTGAGATTCTTGGTGTGTGCTGCTATGCCTGGCTTTTTATACAGGCGCTGGAAACTCATGGTTGTGTGGCAAGACTTTACCCACTGAGCAGCTACCCAGATCCTGTATGTTTTTTATAAAGGGTCTGGACAGAGGGCTGGCTAGGGGGGTGTTGCTCATTGGTAGAGCACTTGCCTAGCATTCAAGACCCTGAGTTTGATCTCCAATACTTGAGGGAAAGAAAAAAAGGAGGGAACGAAGGGAGGAGAAGGAAAAGAAAAGAAAGAGGAGAAAACAAACGAAGGAAGGAAGGACAAAGAATGAACTGGAGATGGGGAAAGACCACAGGACTGTGCTGACAAAAGCAGTTACTACGTGGCCCTGCAGTTTGCTGATCCCAGCTGGCTCACCAAGGGTGAAGGGTTTGCTGATTTTATATAATCCACACAGTAGCAACAGTTTGGAGATCAGTGTCCAAGAGTGTGGCCTAATTTTATTAGGGAAGGGAACACTATGCTGCTTCAAAGACAGAGACAGAAGCAAGGTGTTAAAGCTACCTGGTTTAAAGTCACCCATCAAGTGGACCTCAACAGTTTATTCTTCTTGACTACATTAAAATAGATTTATGTATATATGTGATACATATCATAATAGTGACTATATTATCAGTATAGTAGAGACTGGGACTGCTTTATACTATCAACAGAAACAGTGACGCATACATACTGTATGTGGAGATGAGGGAGAAGGGATGGGTGGCCTGAGCCACCTGTGAGATTTTCTGCCATCCATGAAGCATTCCTCAGGGTCTAGCATGCACTAACATAGATCTTGGCATTGTGACGGCACAGGTGATGGAACTGAGGCAAAATCTCTGCCATCACGGGGCACACAGTCTACTGAGACAGACACAAAACTAGCTGTAGAGTTGTTGAGCATTCAGCTCAGTGGAGCAAGGCTGCTGCTCAAACGACCACTTATAGACCACATTAGTCCCCGACTGCTCTAGTTCCTCGATTGCTGGCTTCTAACAGGCAAGGTAAGACAAGGGTTGAAACTAAAACTGTTGAAATCCTTATAACAGTTTGACACACTGACATTTTTGTCATATTTTATAACGACCAACCCTGCTTTGGAAATGTACAAACAAGATAACTATAGAACTTGAAGACACAGAAAGAAGGTGTTTACTCCATCAGGAGGCCAGGGAGGGAAGCTCCTGGAGGAGGGAATGTCCTCAACTGAGGTCTGAGAGCTTGGGAGAGTTGCCAGGCAAGGCAGGGCAGAGGTGTGGCAAAGACAACAGCAGGTGAGTGGCCCTGGCAACAGAAGAGCCTGACAGGTGTGAGGAAGAGAAAGGCCAGCATACTGGGAATGAGCAGGAGAGGAGGCACCAACTGAGGCTGGATGACCGGTGTCCAGGACACAAATATAAAGGTTTAGTCTTTCATCCAAAGATAAATGAGCCCCAAGTGGGCACGGGCACAGGAAATGCGATTATCTTCTGAAAGAGCTCCCTACTTTCATAGAGAACGCACTATGGGACTACAAAAGTGGAGAGAGACCCAGGCGGGAGACTGAGGCAAAGTTCCAGGCTAGACTCAAGTCAGTGGAGCAGCTGGACTCGGAAGGAATGGGAGCATCCACGACCTGAGGTGGAAATAAAGATGAGACACAATGTACATCAGTCTGCAGTGCTAAGGGCAACTCTTTTAGAGGGCCCTGCCAAGTTATTCTAAGAAGGGAAACAGTCTGAACCATAAGCAGGACTCCCAGCAAGCTGAGGACCTGGCTGATACCCCTCTTCTCACTTGGGATGCTCACCTCTGTATATCCAGCCTGGAACCAGGCTGCACTCTGGCCTCAGAGAGTCCGGGGAGTCAGTGTTCAACAGACTCTTAAGTGTCTTAAGTGTTTCCTTTTGCTTCTCTGCCCTGCCTCACACCCCAGGACCACAACAGGTGCCCCCCCCCCCCACTGTGAACGCATCCTAGCTGTCCTCACACGGAAGGGACATGCAGCTGCTACCCTGGGCAGAATCATGCTGCAAGGGATTTTCAACTCAGTCCAGTTTTGCCATCTCCCACCCA